GTCGTTTCAATGAATTCCCCCGTTCAAATCGCAAGAATCGAATGTCACAGGGTCGCAAGTCAAATACATCTTACCCTAACGGCTACGCTCGCACGAATGGATCTTATCAACCTCCCGCACTGACGGATTATGTCAGTGTTGACTCAAGCCCCACAGGACATTATCCCTCGCGCTCGAGATCTAGGCATAAGTATTGTGTGACTTCCTCCTGCAGTGAATCTTCCCCTGAAAGAACCAGTCAACTTGAAAACTGGGCCTCATCAAAAAGTCGTTCCTCCCTTCATCTGGGGGACTCTGATGGAACTCACAATACTGCCAAACGGCATGATGAAACCCAACGTAAGGAGGCTGCCTCGCAGAGATCGTTGGGTAGACACGAGAAGTCGCGTCGTGCGACCAACTCCGGCAGTTGTACACCGAATCCTCCAGATCAACCCTCTTCAGGTGATGGTACTTCTAAGGGCAATCCTGTCTTGCCTGATACTCCCGATCACCAGTCTAATACAGCTCCCCCTCAACAACCCACCGTCGATTCGACGCCAACAACTGAAGGGGAATCCATTGTAACTGGAAGCCTTGGTCGCCCTCTTGATACTTCCGTGTCCAACAAGCAGTTTGTTACAAAAGTGCCCCTTTTAGAAAGGCCTTTGTCAACCGATTCAAAACCTGTCATAGACATGGGGACGCCAGTCCTTTTAAACCGTGCCAATCAGTGTTCTTTTAAGGCAAATCCTTCTTGTCTTGCAAACTTTGAGGCACTAACCGAACTTGAACGTGAACGGGCTGAACTCCTACGTCAGTTGTCTCTACTGAAGACGACTTCTATTGGCAGTCAACCGTCCGATTCAGTCTCTCAAACATTCTCCAACTCAGATATGAGTTCTAAGTAAGTCCTATCCGTTTCCCGAGTGCACTTTTATTTGTCAATATATATGCCACCAAACTGACCTCATAATTAAGACCCTGACAACGTTGTTTGCGCCTATGTTGTTTTTAATAACAGCGAAGAATGTGACTAGGAGTGACACTCGGAACTCGCCAGACTTGACCGATCTGGATAATTCTAACGTCCAAATTGGTTGTTCAGTGTCTGATAGATACAGATACCATCAATGGATCCTAGTTTACAATGCACGATGTAATAGTGGTTTCCTGTATGCTTAAATTGGTCCTCTACAAAGTCCTAGTTTTATCCGTCTTATTTTTCACCAAGAAGGGTAGTGAACTTTGAAGGTTAGAAGCCTCCTCCTCTTATATTGTATTTCTTACCGAATCGTTACTAGTGATGATACAACACCAGAATGCGCTAGTTCGAAGGCCATTTTTTGCTTTTGTCTTTCGTGTCTCCTTCCACTTATGTTTGTCCGACCGTTTACTACGACAACAGTGCAGTATAAAGAGGGATGACATGGACTCTTCCTACCAATTAACCGAGTCTTAGTTGACTGTGGTATAGCGGCCGTCACCATCAGTTTCTCGGACCTTACATTCTACGAGTAGTATTAAGATGCTGTACTTTGTCACCTCTTTGGTACGCTTTGACCTTACCGTTGTGTTGGACCGGATGACAAAGCCAGTCAGGTAGCAACCCCACTATTATGTAGGATTGGTCTTTATATTGCGCGAGTATAGTCCTGACATTTGAGGATTTTTTTGGTCACTATAAACTAGACTTAATTTTTGCTCCTAGTAAACAATTCACATAGCTCTTACTCTTTTATCATGCATTTGTCGAAAGGAATAGATCATCGTTGTTCTCTAAATAAGCCACTGGTAGCAAGCAAGCAAGTAGCCCTTGTTGGATCCGGAACCCCGCCGGTTGG